CAGACTACACAGCGCAAAAACCCAGAAGACAGAAATCTTCATACTAAGAATCGCCCTGATGACGGAGGCAGTATGACCTCTGAAACGTTGATAAATATCGACCAGACTACACAGCGCAACAACCCAGAAGACAGAACTCTTCAGACTCACCGCTGTGAAAACCTCAAATCCTACATACCAACTGTTTTTAAAAGTTTTCCAACGGACAGTAATAACGTTCTACTGTCATAAATTCCAAGTTTTAGTCGATTTATGTCAAAACGTCAAATAATATGGCACTGTCGCACTTATTTCTTTCTATTTAAACGTTTTAACTTTTACAACAGATTTTGGAAAGTAATTTTTAATTTTCGTTTAAACCAGATACATCCCGGTTAATTAAGCCCCGGATCAACGGGGGTCTAGTGTGTTCAGCTTTCATTTCTTAATTACTGTTGACTGTCGTCGTCTGTGCCACTCTCTTTTGCTTCACACGGCTTATGTGGCTAATGTTACATTCACTGTAATATTGTGTATGTGGTTTTAAGTTGCTCATTTGCTAGGGACGGGGGTTTTGTTGCAGGTCAGACGGACAAGCACAGGGACAGCGAGGCCTTGTACCTGCTATACAAAGTGATGTTATTGGTGTGGATTGTCTTCGGGCTCGGGTACCTCGTCATGATCCTGGGTTTCATCACGAGCGCAATGCAATCGAAGAAGATGGCGCGTATCGAACGGAAGTTAGCCAACAACATTAAGCAAACACATTCCAAGCTCTGGAACACATTCACGCGTGACGTCAGCTACCTGCGTCGCGTGCTCAACGAGATGTACGTCATGACGCTCAAGGTAACTACTAAAGTTGATACAGCGTCGTTAATTGATTGTAAGAAGTCCTTGCCTGACGCTGAAATTCGGTATTTTATAGCCGGTTTACAAAGACGAGGAGGAGGCCGGCTACACCATACGCACGCGCAGTAGCAGCGAACCGATGCTATATGATCTGTCGTCGCAAGACGATGAGCTTGCCCCCTGGTGCGGAGTGTGGAGGCGGCGCGCCAACTCGGAGACGGCGGCAGCGGCCCCGCGCTTGCAACGCGTGTTGTCCGAATCAGATCTGGGAAGAATCGACAGGGACGCTACATTCAAGTCGGCCGCGGCCTTGATGCAGCCGGGCGAGCTGCTGGCCCACGTGGTTAATGCCCTGGGCGAGGAAGAGCAGGGCATCCAGGGCTTCAGCGACGCGGAGATCCTTGCGAGTGAGGAACCTTATACTACATGGAATATAGGTGGGGATCCTATCCCTAAACAAAGAGGGCGCGCTGCCAGCGAGGTTCGCATTCCCATGAGGGAGCAGCAGGACGACGCGGAGTGGACGTGGTCAGGCGACGAGCCGTCGCGACGCGTGCACGAGCTGTTCCGAGCCGGGCACAAAGGGTGAGCTCATTGTGCTGTGTGTGTTGTAATGTGGTGTCAAATATCATTCATGATGCTGAAGCTACGCGTTCTCTCTCTTACAGCCTGGTGCCACCTGACCACACGACCCGCAGACCCTCCATCTTTCAGCTAGCGGCCGCCCGAATCAAACAGCCACTGAAGAAACGACACAAAGCCAAGAGCATAGGCGACCTTTTCAGAGCTCCGGAATGCCCATATGTCTCGCACTCGAATATGCACCCAGCCCTCGAGGAGACTTCGCTAGCCGACTTCCTTCGAGCCGTCAGCTCGCTGCAATCGCGAGTGGCGAAGCCTCCCGACACGGCACCGCCCCGCCGTAAGGCAGGAACCGCCGGCCTAACACCTCCAGGATCGCTAGTGTCTCTTTTCACACCCCTCTCGACAGAACGACGCATGTCGTTACGCCCGGCACCTGTAACGCGGCTGAACAACGCCGCCTCACGACGCGCCTCCCTAGCGTCCCTATTCACGCCCCCAGCAATGAACCGGCGCATGTCGCTGCATCCCGCCACCTCGTCGTGGTTGAACCACGCCACGTCGCGACGTGCGTCTCTGGCGTTACCGCCCACCACTCCAGCTATGAACCGGCGAATGTCGTTGCGCCCCGCCCCTGCGTCGCGTCTGAACAACGTCTCATCGCGACGTGCGTCTCTACACCCATCAACTAGACGCTTTTCGGTGCGCCCTGCCACCAGTACGCTGCCGCCATCGTCCTCTCCGCCTGCAGGCCCGGTAATTCAACTCATGGCACCGCACCTGTTCTCGAGACAGACAAGCGAACCGAAGTATGGGAACCGCGTTAGCAGCATGACGGACCAGAAGTAAATTGGCACCACAAGATGGCAGAAACCTCTATGGTGGCATAACGTACACAGTCGCCTGTTGCAGTCCTAAATATGCAAAATCCTTCAACGATTAATGGTCAGGGAGACACCAATTCTTAGTCTTACATAGACAGTTTGTCGATGAAGCCTTCCCTTACAAATCCTGTTAGGTAGTTTCATGTTCCTACAGTAAACATGACAAGACTTATATCTAAAACAGATAAGCTGTACCTCCCTGTCAAAGGATGTTGCGGTATGATCTCCATCATCCACGACAGAGGCTACTGTCATTCTAGAACAAAGATGATACTCATTTAACATAGAAAACAATAACGGCATAGCTTTGCAAAACGTTTTGGGTACATACCACTTTTAGTCCTGGGAAAGTATTGCACCCAGAAAAGCATTTATATAATAGAAAAGATGGAAAAAGAAAGGAAATAAAATAGCAGCACATTTTGTGCTTCCAGGTTCATATCGAGATTAAAATTCTTTATTTCTACTTCTAGGACTGATAGAAGTTTTAAGGTTCTTTGAAGTGTACAGTAAAGTTTGTGTATTCTCAGCACACAACTCAATAGATAGCAGATAGCTAGACAAGCAAATCACCTGGAGAAATACCTGCAGAAAAAAGATGAATGATTTTGGTGGCGAAGATCCATGAAAAGTCAACACTTGAAAGTCCAAACAGTTCAGAGTGCATTCCTAGAAAAGTATTATCGTAATGATGTGGGCTGAACACATGGCGTCTAACTGGAAGCTAATTGGCAGAGTGCTGCATGAAGCAAAGGACATAAGAGTACGTATAATGAATAGTTTCTGTCTGTCGATCTGAATACTTCAACTCCGAAACTATATGAAAGACTTAAATAAAATTATGCTATGGATGAGTTAACATTAAAACTGCCGTATGAATTCACATCTCATTTGTATCGGCCAAATGAATCCCGACTTTTACACAACCAAAAATCAGCGTTGTCAGCCTGCTTCTAAAAATGAGCAGTCATGCAAATAGGCCCAATTATCACATGCCACACAAAGCTTATAAACTGATAAAAAATAGCTATCCACTACTTTTCGTATGTATTTAGACATCATCTTGCACAATGAGGTTAAGATAGATTTTGTTGTTGGTGGGCGTGGCTTGCTCCGGCCCCAAAATTCCACCTCGCGAGTTTGACGTTATCACGCATCCGAAGTACAACAAATTAACATTGACAGGTCATGTTTTTCATCTACTTGGACATGGCATAACATCCATACAACATTTCAATAACATACGTCCATCCACTCTCATGTTACGAAATTCGTACCTAATGACGTTACACGTGATTGTGGTGGCAACCCTGATTTACGTCAAGTTGGGTCAGGTGAGATTAGGGGGTCATCTGCCCAAACGGTGATGCGCATTTGATCGTACTATTGCTTCACTGCATAAGCGAGGCATGTCGTTGGCACTACTGAATTTTGAAGTTCAGCGGAAATTATAACATTGGAAGATTTGCTTATTGAATATTTTCCATTCTCTTTACTTCTATATCGAATACTAGTAATAAAAACATAAGTCAGGCTTATTTAATGGGTGCACATAAGGCGATGTCAAGGCATCAGGATTTGTTAAACTACGTCAGTTTCAAATGAAGACAGGTAACTTGTGGTCTGTCAGTGGAATCATAAAAATTAATGTCATACACAGTGAAATTTATTCGAATAAACATCTAATTTATTTATTTTGAGTGTTTGATACAAATATTATAGTGGCACCTTACATCAGAATGTTTTCGTAACTTCACGTCAGTCATTTCCTGGTTGAATTTGTAGCGCAGCGTATTCTTAACGTAAAGTGTAATTAACACTATCGAAATTCGACATCTCCTATCACACTTAATTATTCGAATCACACATTGCGTGAAGATAATAACACTTTTCACATATCATTAATTAACCAAACCTAAAATGTAAACAAACCGTCAGACAATACACCACTTTGCCTACATAATAGTAAACACGTACGTTCATGACGTGCACTGTGAAAACAGTCTTGCATGCACAAACAGCACATATATTACTTAGATATTCAAGAAGGATCAGTCTTGTTCATCTCAATTCCTTACTATACGAACTGAGAACACATTAATTTGCATACGAGCGGCAATTGTAGCAAGTGTTAGTGGTGAAGATATACACAGTGGCGGCCCGTTCATAGCAGCTGCACCACAGTATATAATTTTTCAAAATTTCAAAAATATATTTTTTGTTTTTATAAAATTTGTAACACTTTTTTCCTCTATATCATTATTTTAATGTTGCCCCTCACGTTGTCAGGCGAGGAGTGCGAAGCAGAACGGGGCTATCATCCGGCTGCAAGGATTTCAGCGCGGTTAGCCGGTCAAAAGTAGAGAGCGCGGCGGGCGGTAGAGTGAGGGGCAGTTCACTGGTAGAGCGCGTATAGGGGCTGCAGTCCCCACAGCCGGCTTTTAGTAAACACCCTGGCCCGGTACCACGTGTTTTAGACTGGTTTCTGTATCACAAACTGTTTCGTGGTTATTGTTAATGAGTGTTCAGTAATTCTGTGTGCTGACTATTTTTTGTTATGATGCCACTGCCAATGCTCAGACTCACGATCCGCCACTGTTACGTTACGTTAAGTTAAGTCAGGTAAGTTAAGGGTAAGTTATATAAGGTTGTTGTGCGCGATGGGTTGGGTTGTCCTGGAGAATTTATATCGTGTTCATCGGGTGGTCGAGGGGATGTCCTAGAGAAGTGCTGGAGAATCCTGGAGAATTCCAGGAAAATTCCTGGAGAAATTTTGGGAAAGTCCTAGAGACGTAATGAGCAAATTTTTTGTCATGGGGAATTGCTGGAGAAGGTTTGGAAGGTCATCTGGAACTCCTTAAGCGGTGGTGGGTTTGATCCTATGCGGGTCGGTTATTTTGGATTCGTTTAAGCTTGCTTGGGACAAGTTTCATTGGATTAGGTTGCCTTCTAGGTTAGGTTAGGTTAGGTCAAGTGAGGTTTAACCTGTATATCATATAGAGCGTCATACTTTGTTAAATCAATACTGATAATCTACAACCTCTATGTCAATGCATTGATCATGTGAATATAGACACTAACAGCATCAGCATCATGGAAGTGTATTTTACAAGTGTGTTTTCTGTGATTTTCGGTAGGTGGCACAAATGCCTAGCAACTCGCCGCCGTTGAATAGTGAGGTCGGTTGGAAATCGATATTTAGAAACGAAGAACTGCATCATCTTGTGGCCATCTCTGGAACTATTTCGAAAATATTTTCATTATTTTCTTTCATGTTTCTTCCGTATACATGTGACGAGAATATTTTAAAATTGTATTCACAATAACCATGCAAGTAATAAATGACTTAACAGTGTTCATATTTATCAGTGAAGCAATCAACGTTACGGTATGTTCATGAATATATATAATATTATCAGTTCTATACATTGTGAGATATGTAGGCGGCAACAAGGTTTTAACAACCTTATACACAAAATGTTTTGTTTGTGCGGCAATTATATTATTTATCCAGATATTATATTACTTACTTTAAGAGTAGATTACAGATGTTAATACAGTGTTTCGGTTATGCATATATGGATCGTCTTGCATAGTGAGGTTAAGATAGATTTTATTTTTGGTGGGCGTGGTTTGCGCCAGCTCAGAACTTCCGAATACATGTGAGATTATTGGTTGTTACCGACATCTTTACCATACAGCGTGTACTACGTGTGTTCTTTCTTCAGATGCAGATAGATGTCTAGAATGGCAGTAGGTACGATATTTGTATTGAAAACAATTATAGGTTAGTGTGTATTTCCCGGAAACTCAAATAATGAGAAGCAGCACGAAAAATCAGAGTGATCAAGTCAATGCCTTGAGGTGTGTGCATCACATTGGAAGGAAGAGAAATGCACACGAAATATTAGTCAGGAAGTTAAGGGAAATAACTGGTGGTAAGTTACAGCTCATGTGGGAGGATGAATTAATGTGGAGACCTAGACTTAGGTGAGAGGATAATCTCAGGCGGGATGCATGGGAGATAGGAGTTGAAGGAGACTTGATTTTGTTGGCCCAGGACAGGTTCCGGTGGAGGACATTGGTGAGTTCGGTGATGAACCTTCGGGTTCTGTAAGCCATTTAATTAGTTATTTGTTTTTTATAGAATTGTTATATAACATAAGAATCTGTTAATTATTATTATGTGTACTTATTTATAGGGTAAATAGTATTGACAGTGCAAGGAGTTATGGTGGCGTGAAGTATGGACATCAAGAAACTGAAACCTCTCACAGTACTTGCACTACAAGATGACATTTCAACAGTTCAAAAATGTTATTTACCAAGTGTTTATTCAGGAATTTTAAAAACGTGTAATGTTGGATGCTACGTTCTTGTACAGATATCATCATCCATAAAATATGTGTGCAAGCTGTATTGGAAAAGTGACCTACACAGTGCATTCTGTCAGTTAGATGGGAGCGTCATAACTTTCAGTGGTTGCGAGCGAACGTTAATGGGCTTACCTTGGAAAGCAGTTAGTCAGTCATGCAGTGAGTTGTCATTGGAACAGATTCAGGTTCTTTCTTGTTGTGTTGCTATTAGAGATTTACATTTGTCAGTAGTTTTTGAAAATGTAAGTGACAATAAAACCTGGCGGGTGGACACTGACACTCTTAAAGACATTGTAAAAAACATTTTGAAGTTGTATGTACTGATTGAAGATTCCATAGTTTACACAAAAAATCTGCCTCAGTGCCAGAAGTTTGGGATTAATTGCATTGTGATTCATGACATTGGTAAGTCAGAAAATGATAGTGCCCCAACTATTGGGAGAATTGTGTCTAGCACAAATGTTTCTGTGGTTCACCAGCTGAGTAGGGTGTGGCTTGAGCAGCTTCAGGATCCCTGTGCTGAGGTTCCTCTTGGTGGACTTGATGGTCCATATCATGCTCTTCAAGAGATTATGTGTCAGCATAAGTTCTATTGGCAGGCTGCTGAGAAATTGGAACTCAGACCTTGCCAACAGGTAAGAGGTGAAATTAGTTAACTATCTATTTTGGCAACAGCGAAGGATATAAATTTTGTTTCAGAACTCTCAGTTTCAAAAAGGTGTATGTAATATTTTGATGTGTGTAATGTAATTTATTTACTTAAATGAACTCAAACTTTACTTCAATGTCCGTGTACATTTTTATGATTGAGCAGTGGTTGAGTAGAGGGTGGATATTAAGAAGAAGACATGAAAGAAATCAGTATTTTGAAATAATTTTGGAGTTCAAGGTTTTCTTCTTGCATATGCCTTTAAATTTAAATTTTCAAGAATGTAAATATCATTAGTAGCTTAAAAGACCTTCATATGTCATTTACTTATATTGAATACTTAAATATAATATCTGGAATGATATAAAACAGTAAAATTTATGGCCTTTGGAACTCTGATAGGTGCTGATTGTGGGGCCTCCAGGATGTGGGAAAACAAGTTTAGTTCGTCGCGTGGCTTCAGACTCTAAAGCAGTGTTGGTGACTGTGCGAGGCCCAGAGGTTTACTGCCCTCGACCTGGAGACACTGAAGGCTGGTTGCGAGAAGTGTTTGGGGAGGCAGCTGACCTTACCCGGGAAGGTGAAAAAAAATTGTTTTGGATAGAAATGTTAGTCATGCTTTAAGCTTATAGGTACTTGACTGTATTGTGAAAAAACATGCAGTAACTGGTAACATTTTTAATGTCCTTTTACAGATAGTACATGAGAGCTTACACCACATTTTCCTTCATGAACATTGGCCATTAATTGCATGTTGGGTGTACTCATTCTGCCGTACGTCACTGATCTCTGGTGACGATGGTATTCTGTCTTCTTACCTTACATACCACAACTCAGAGGTCAGTCTGATTCCCTTATGTAATTTGACACAGAGAGGCTCACATTGTTAAATCAGATTAATATTCATCGCCCTGATGACGGAGGCAGTATGACCTCTGAAACTTTGGTTAACATCAACCGGACTACACAGCGCAATAACCCAGAAGACAGAAATCTTCAAATCAGATTAAGTTTCCCAAGAATGAACTTTCAAATTCCCTATTTCATGTTTACTTAAATTTTGTCATTCTTGCGTTCCATCTTATGCACAGCCCAGCTTTACACGTGTCACACTAGCATACTGCTAGACTGTTAACCATGGCTCACAGCCTTGTATTATGGGGATTTAAAATGCATTTTTCCATATGATGAATATGTGTAACATACTGGCAAGCAAAATCTGTTAAGGTAATTTTTGTGGAAAATAACATGATGACTGCAAATAAATACGAGGCACGTCCACAAAGTAAGTTTCCCACTCGTCCCACAGCTAGCAAACCTTATATTGCGCGAAGCGACTGTGCGTACGTGATAGAGCAATGACGTAGCATGGCGCATGCACTAACGGCACTTCCCGCGTTCTCACAGTAGCATCGTTGCAGCTGTTGAAGATGGAGGTTCTTATTCCAGCTCCCGCCGACTGTGAAGTGCGGTCAGTGATAACGCTAGGCCGCACACGGCTCGACGGATAGCGAGTCTCCTGCAGGAGTTCAGCTGGGAGGGGTTTAATCATTCACCCTACAGCCCGGACCTCGCTCCCAGTGATTTCCATCTTTTCCTACACCTCAAGAAATTCCTGTCCGGTCAGCGTCAGCGTTTTGAGAATGACAGAGAGGCGGAGATGGTTGTCACACAGTGGTTCCAATCCCAGGCGGCAGACTTCTACGACACAGGTATTCAAAAGTTGGTCCCATGGTATGACAAATGTCTCAATTCCGGTGAAAAATAGCTGGACACTTGCTCTATCTGTTGCAATAAATATTTCCATGAAATTGTGTTTTGTTTCTGTAAACGGCCCCAGGGAAACTTACTTTGTGGACGAGCCTCGTATATAGTTTGTGATTTGGTGGCAGTAAATGGTGACCTTTTTTTAGCTAATCGTGAGAAGTCAACAAATGTTTTGTGTTGCAAGGTTTGTGTTGAACGTTACAAACTTTGAACAGGGATGAGAATATGTTAAAGTATTGTATGGATACACTGTCAACATAATTTTATACACAAGTTGTATAATTTTTCAGTTTTCTGGTCAGATGAAAAGAAAAATTATACGACAATTCTTCACAGATTTTCATCTTAAAGTTAGAGTTATTGAAGTATAAAAAAATGTGTTACTTCAGCAGGGTTTTGTAGATGAAGACTGTGAAAATAAAGTGCAACATTTCTAGATGGATAAAGATTTTGCTGTTAGATAACGGCTATCTGTTTCTTCATAGGTGTATGTATTTTGCTCTTGGATGAAGTGGACAGCCTATGTCCAAGAAAAGGTGCAGGATGGTTGACTCCACACCAGACACGGGCTTCAGCACAGCTTCTTACACTGTTGGATCATGCAAATCAAGTCAGAGGCCTTGTGGTTATTGCTACTACCAACAGACCAAATGCATTGGATCCAGCTGTACGCAGACCAGGGCGACTGGAAACAGAGGTATTATTTATATGTATACAGTGCCAGACAGTAGTATGGACACGTGGTTTTGCCATTATGATGTGATAGTAAGTGAAACAACGCATTACATAAGTTCTTTAATACTTGGTACATTTTCAAGACAAAAACAGCTAAGGGATAAGAATCTAAATAAAAAAATAAAAAGCTATTAAGAATTTTTGTTTGTAAGTGGCTGTGGGTATGAAAACATTCACCAACTAAAGTAGACTTTTGAAGAAAACCATGTAATTTTCTAACTTTCTTTGGCTAATAACAGGTACTTATCATCTGTGAAAGACATCTGCAAAAGAAATAAAAACTCTCTGAACATAATAACATTTGCCTTGGTTGTGAACACAGGAGCTTTGCACATTAGTATTGGTCAAAGTCTGTGTGATCTTAGATTACACGTGATTCCTCGATTTAAGAACTGTTCTTGTTTTAGTTTAAACTTCTATAACTCCGTGTATTCATTTGGTTCTGAATTTCCTCGCATGTTTCTTCAAGTGAGGAGTTAAACTAACCTAACTTATTGCAACCTAACATCACCTCAAATCTTATTCCTTCCAGAGGGAGATTAAAAGATTCTGCAGCGATGTCATGGATAAGTGGCAAGTGAAAATATTTTTTAATTATAATTTGATATCTGTCAGTTTTTTGCTTTCATTATGAAACACTGTTCATTGTCTGTTGTAGGTGCACATTGGAGTTCCTACAGAAAGTGAGAGGGAACAGATACTGCAGAAGCTGGTATCACCATTGCTGATTCAGGAAGAGACAGAATTGTGTTGCAGGGTAGCACATCTTACTCCTGGCTATGTTGGAGCAGATCTTTCACTCCTCTGTCAAGACGTTGTTCTTGGCAGGTATCGAAGAAATGTATGTATGAAGGTTTTCAATATATTGTGTGTGCAATAAGCTTCTGACTTAGTACCACAGTATTTGTCTACTTTGTTTACTTATAATCATAGACATGTGACAGTGCAATGGCTGTGTCTATTTGAGTCTGTGTCTATCTGTCTGTATGTCTTCTTCCTTAGTAACCTTTAACCCTTTAGATAGATTTGCACAAAACGTGATACGACTGTCATGCGATTATACACCATTTCATGTTCATGTATTTTAATTTTTCATCATCTGTAATATCAACATGCCAGTCATGTACATTTTGAGATGTGAAGCGAAATATGTAGGACAATGGGAAAGTCCAGAAGATGCAAGATGATGTATAGTGCAGACAGATGGTTGAAACTGCTGGAAGGACATGCTGTTATACTGACTGGTTTAAATAATGTGAATGGAGAATGTAGAAGTTGACATACAGTGTTAACATAAATGAAGAGAAAACAAGGAATTGTTTGCAATTAATTTTTAAGGTTTTGTTTAATGTGTAATACTGATGATGATGATGATGATGATACAGTCCTTCCATGAGCTAAAATATATGAATGCTAAAGTTGTTTATTTTAATACCAGTTCTGTTTGCAGGTTGTGTTAGATGAATTAAGATACTCAAAATGTGAAGAATTTTTTTTTTAAAGCTTTTTCTTGTGCTAAACCAGAACAGTTGTAGAAAGAATATGAAGTTATTCTTATCCTTAGGTTTACATGGCTGAGTTTCATTGTACAGCATCAGCTTTAGGAGATGAGTCACATCGAATGTTGAAAATTAAACATTTCAGCAAATGCTGCAGTTGCCATCTCTAGATTACCATGAATTTGACGTTGTTCATTCCCAAAGGCCAAAGTTGTAGAGTGTGAAGTTATAGAGGTCAACAAATTTCAAAAGCAGGACCTTTAAACAAAAGTAATTGGATAGTTCATACTAGAGTGAATGTATTTGCAATTTATTTTAATGTGCAGTAGTTAGCTAATACAGAATTCCAGAATAGTGAGTAAGAAGTTCTTTAATATTAACCTTTACTGGCTGTGTGTCTCAGCTTAACACATGATCCAGCAGGCTGTGTGTCAGCTTACTGCTAAACTGTTAATCCCAGAATTGAATTATTACTTGGAGCCCCATAGTAAAGGGGGTTTAAATCCTCTATTACCACATGATAAAGGTTAGACCATGTATGTAACTCTACATATTCTTGTAATAACTAAGGAGGAACCAGTTGTATTTAAATTCTCCACCAGTATGTGAGTACTGGAAGCTAATTGAAAATAGATCCTATTGATGTTTTTAATTTGATTGTGATATTCTTGCCAAATTATAGAAGGAGATTAAAAATTGTCTGCAAAACATTTTTCTATATTAAAAAATATGGATTCAGATTCATTGAAAAATGTTGGAGTTTGCCTAAAAATTATGGGCTGTGGGAATACTGAAAATTATGTACAGGAATGGATTATTAAATTGTAAAATGTTTGCGTTATTGTTTTTGTATTGATGTATTAATGGATGGAAAACTTCTTGTTTTTGTTTTCATTTGTGTGTCCTGTAACCATGAGTATGAAGGAAAATTGCTGATGTCATCAGTGTTTTCCTGTTTGAGTGTGTGTGTGTGTGTGTGTGTGAGAGCGTGCGCGCATGAGCATGCTAGCATGGCTGGGTTCAGGAGTAACTGATGTATCAAATTTTGCTATAAATGTCACTGATACAGCACATGCATAATCAAGGAATAATAAAAAAAGATACAGAGTTACACTTTATATGTGTTTAGGTTAAATAAAATCACAAATTGTGCTGAAATTAATGATTTTCAGTCTTGCTATTTATGGTGAGTGATTCTTTATGTTGTTCATTCCTCCTGTTGTCATATACAGGCAGTGAACACAGGTAGTTCAGAAGAATGGTTCTCAGACTTCCAGGCTTCAGTAGCTAGAGTTAGGCCATCATCACTGAGAGGTGGTTTGGGTGTAGTTGCAGCTCGACCCTTCAAACTTTCAGACATTGGTGGCATGGATAATATCAAGCAGTCATTGCGTATCGCTATTGAATGGCCATTGTTATATCCTGAAACTTTTACAAAATTTGGACTCCTACAGCCTAAAGGTACTGAAATTTTTTGTTAAATATTGGATAACTTTCCATTTTTGACAACTGTTTTAATACCAATTTTGTCATGTCTTAAAATAATTATAAGGGAGCTGTTTGTAAAACTGAAATGTCTGGACAGATTTGTTTTGTTTTACATATCTGTTAAAGCAGATCATGTCTGGAGTTACCAGCAGAATTGGCTAACTTTTTCCTGTTTCAGTTCCATTTCATTTGAAACAAAGTCTATACCTTTTAGGAATAAAAAAAGATAAAATTGTTACAAGTGTGGATGTCAGCAATCTGTTACTGAATACTGTACATTTTAGGTGTTCTACTCTATGGACCACCAGGCTGTGCAAAGACATCATTAGCTCATGCACTTGCTTGTGCTATGAATGTCACATTCCTCTCTGTTTCTGCTGCCGATCTCTACACACCATATGTGGGAGATGCTGAGAAGAGCATTGGTGAACTGTTCCATCGAGCTAGACTGGGGGCCCCGACTATCCTCTTCATCGATGAAATAGGTAAATGTAAATTTTATTGAACTATTTTGGGCTTGAGGTTTCTTTGCGTTAAAATATCAGTAGCAGTATAGTACGACAACTTATTGCTGAACTGGAAGGGGTACCCATTATACCTGTATTTCAGGATGTGAGTCTCTGCTGCTGTATTCTTGTACACAGGATCACAGTACAGTTCTTGTATTTTTACCACCTGGCTATTAACATGAAGTTTTTAACCAGTGAGGGGAAGTGCAAAAGCTGTTGATATCTCAGCTGAGCTATCAGGAAAGGAGGACAATTCTTATCAGAGGCAAGTTCATTAACTGACTGAACATCATTTTATTATTTGTGACTGAAATTACTCCACTTTTATAATGCAGTGCAAAATTAAAAATGTGCACTTTTACATAACAGAACAGCTGCATTTACTTTATGCCTGACGTGATGTGTGCATTGTCATTTGCTTCTCAGCCAGAAATAGAAAGCCAAATTTGTACTTTGAATCCCAGCCATGAAAACCTAAGGACAATAAATAGATGTGCTTATATTTACCTTACACTTCAAAATTTTATGTAGCTTACAGATATTTTATTGCATTTTGAGCAAATTTGAATCCAAAACTGGGATATTTGGAAAATTTTAAGGTAGAAATACTGCGAAACAAAATTATGTAATTAAGGATACATTGTGAGATTGGAAGTTCTCAGGGCATTGAATATGAAGATGGCTGTCTTCTGGGTTGTTGCTGTGAGAGCACCCTGGTGATGGAAACATTAAGCACCTCTGTCATCTTGGTGAAGCTCTACCAGACTACATGGCATAACACCCAGAAGACAGCCGTCTTCTGGAATATAATGGTATGGGCGAGTGTTGCACATGGGAAATAGTACAGATTTTTTAATGCCATGAGAAATGAAGGTTATGAATAAGTAACCATTAGGGAGAATAAGGAGAGAGCAGTTGATAGAAGGTATGTAAAAAAGAGTAATGTGAATATGTTGAGGGAGACTTTGTCATAAGATGTTCCACATGGTGCAGCGTCAGCAAATGATGATGGTTATGATTATGATTATGATTATGATTGCATCACATCTTTGTTAAAATATTCAATATTATGATAAGTTCAAGTGATATTTAATTTTTGCCGTGGCAGAGGCCAGTGTCTGCTGTGAAGTGATTTAGTATTTCTCCCAGCTGTGTGTTGTTTTCAGGTCAGTGTTCATATGTATGTGGGAACAGTATCCTGTCAGTGGACACATGAAAGTGGAGCAGAGATATACCAAATGAAATCAGAACACAAAATGGTAGCTTTTCTTACCGTTTATATATTTTTCTTGCAGATGCTTTGGTTGGTAGTAGAGGCCACAGAGAACGAGGGGTGCAGGAACGTGTGTTGTCAGCTTTGCTCACTGAGATGGATGGAATTGGTGTCCAGAGAGATTCTCTCTCTACCATGCATAAAACTTACAGAGGGAGTACGTCTGCTTGCCATTCGCAGGTGATTAGAAAGAGTAGTATTTATCATCATGAACTTTGTAGAATTGTGTTGTTAAGGTCTGCTTGTCTTTCCTTCATCATTTTGGTTCTAAGTCTTATTTTCCATTTGTTTGGCAATAAAATGCTAACTGTGGAAGATAGTGTCTTTCCATTCTTTTCAAGCGATTGTTCTAGTTTTGTTGGTATCCTTACATCTCATCAACTATATTTTTCAGTTTCTCTGTTGTTAACATTTTTGTGGTGGTGTGTTCTAATAAAAAAATTCTGGGAGTCCTTTTGGTGTTAAAATCCAATTTTTACTATAATAAAAAAGGTTGCTTTTAAGTGATGTTACATAAAGATAATTTTGTAACCAGAAATAAAATACTTTAATTGATTTCATGTAGAAAAGTAGCATTCTTTTTGTCATATTTGTGTGATGTCTTTCTGTTGTAGCTCATTATATATGATCAGAAATACAGTGAACCCTTGTCCGTCATGTGTTAGCCCAGTGTGAATTTGCTTCTACACACAGAAACTAATGTGAACAATTATTTGCCATATACAAAAGTTAAAAGAAAAATAGTTTGTCAAACATGGTCTAGTACTATATTCATGGATATGTTCTGTATTATATTTTGCTATTCTCTCCAAAAATCCTGCAGTAGATTTAAAATTATAAGTTCAAGAATACAGTTTTTTTTTAAGATTCTGCATTGTGTGTGTGTAGTTACAGATTAACCTGGGCATAGTGGTAATGGCTGCAACAAATCGACCAGATATGTTGGACGATGCCTTGCTACGACCTGGACGTTTTGACAAGTTGCTCTTTGTGGCTCCACCTGATGCTGCAGCTAGATTGGATATTTTGCGTATTCTCACAGCACACACTCCACTTGGTGAATGTGTTGATCTGCAGTCTCTTGCCCTTGCCACAGATCTTTTCACTGGTGCTGATCTAGGTAGTCTCTGTAGAGAGGTGAGTAGCTGTGTGGGTGATATATGCTTAAGCATGTATTATGATTAGCTTAATTGATGGGTGGTCACTATTGTCCACGAGCCACGAGAGTAGACGTGGCCTTGTCAGCCGTTGCTTGTGTGGCAGGGGGGATAGTGGGTTCTGCGCATACGCTGGTGATGTATTCCTTACCTAAGAACATTGTGCTATCAGTCAGTCAATACATTGGCTCACGACGTACGGCCTGTATAAGCTGCGAGAGTCTTTCGGTCTGCTAGTAGCACAGATTTCTACCCCACCTCCCTCAAAGACGTCAGGTATACTCTCCGGCTCGTGGACAGTACATGAGTTTGAACTTAACCATTTTGTTACGTAGGTAATGCTGTCTACCATTCAAAGCAGTTACTTAGGACACAGATGTGGAAACATATTCTTCTCCACTTTTACTTAAGGAGATGTGAAATATAGAAATATATCCAGTGAATTGCTTGGGGATTGAAACCCTTCACTAATTTTATGGAATTCTTTTATGTTTCTTGGTACTATTTCATGATGCCAGCAAAATGCCTTGAATCTTAATTCCACGTGTAAGTCAGGTTTATTGGGTTTTTGGACTTTGTCCATTGTCTAAGGTCAAAAAGTCCAAAAACTCAATACACCTGACTATATCACACCATTGTCAGAACCCAACAGAATCGAATTCCATATGGGAGTAACTTAAAAATGTGTGACTAATACTTTTGAATTATCTTTATGGATATTGCTCTGACATTGTGTGTGTCTGTGCTTGCAGGCTGCATTCTGTGCACTGACAGAAGAGGGAATGGCAGTGAAACAGGTGAAACACAGACATTTTGTGCAGGTATTATGCCACCTGCGTCCATCCCTGTCTCAGGACCAGGTTGATTGGTACAGCTGTTACAAAAGTATGGATAAATAAAGTTGCTCGTCTTATCGTGAGTGTTGCAGTGCACAATTTCCAGATTTGCTTCGTCATGAGTTTTGATCTATTATTGGATGGGTGTGTGTTTTTGTTTCCATGAGTAATTTTCTCATTTTGATTCTTCTCTGGTTTTGGGGTTTCTGTCTTGGAACATCAGTAGAGGGACTACAGAAACACTAGTCATCAAAATTTGTGAAGGAAGAACTTTGGGGAAAACCCACTTGGCATTCATATCCAGGCTTGAAGGTGGACACAAAAACTTTAAAATGCCCCTTGTACTGTGAAAAGCTACCCACAGTCTTACACAAGTTTTGATTACCACCTTTCTTTTGAATTTGATGGGAAAGAAGAAACTCCCATAAGACTGTACATAAAATATTTTACTGAACTTCATTAGTGTTGAGATTTTGAAAGTGAAAGGGCATAGTGGTATTTAGTTTTGATATAAAGAAATACTTGGCCTTTTGTCTGTCATCTGGAACTACAATGTTTTGGAAGCTAGATTCTGTTCGATTGTGGTGGTACCAGATTAACTCAACCAGGGGGCCCAAAAGACAGGTAACCTGAAGACAGAAGCAGAATACAGCTTCCGAAACATTGTAGTTTTTTTGTTTTATAATTTAGATAATGTAATTTGATGTGCTACATGTGTCATTATAGGCGATCCAGCATTGTACCTTTTTTCCTGCCATCATGGCAGGCATACCAACTGTTGAGATAGGATTTACACTAGCAAAGATTCATAGTGATAGACTAAGGAACCTTACAGATAATGCAGTATGTCAAAGTTCAGATGTTTCAGAAACCCTAACAAATCACCAAAAAATTATAAACACGCTTTCATCAGTTCAATAGTCTTCAATTTTTGCTGTGCCAGGCTGTACAGTAAAATGTTGTGACAGATGACACGGAAAGAAGCAGATGCTCTGCCTAGATTTTGTTTGTGAGGACCTTGGAGTTTAATGAAGCCTGAAGTTGGCATTTAGGTAAGTATACACAGTTACCCTCCCACTGTCAAATATCAGTTCATCGTGACTGAGGAATATATTGTGCATGCACTGTATCAGATGCTGCTATGTTAAAAGTTAAGCCGAGGGTCTCTAGTTAGACCCACACATGAGTACAAAAATTATTATATGTAATTGAAAAATTATGAGGATACACAGACACAGAATGATACTGACTTCTTATTATTTTTCTGTCATTCTGTGGAGAAGAAAAGGATATAGAGTAAATATGTGAAATGCCAACAGAGAAAAACTATAATGTCTCAATAATATTAAATTATACATTTTATTTTTATAAAGACATTTGATACTTATACTGAGAATTGCGTACACTGTTCTACAACAGAAATGGGACAAATCATTTCGTGTGCTGTTCAGATCAGGGGAAAATTGACAGGAAGTATATTGCAGAAAATTCATTCAGGAATCGGTCACTTTCCGGAGGTGCAGACGGAGATCAAAGTTGCCGAACACATTTATTGAACTAACGCAATAAATGGGACCATCAGATTAGAATACCGCCAAGATCGATAGCATAAGGCTCGTGGCTACACTGCTGGGACTCTTGTAAGAGCTAATATCCAAATCTGCTCAAAATTTATTTTGTGTAGACAGCTTCATGGTTGATATTTTCTTCGATAAATAATTTAAGGTGTTGACTGTGACAACTTCTTGGCATATATGTTCAGATTCCAGAGATGATACTTTATAACCCACCATCAACTATCATTCCAAGTGGTGACGGTAGAAATTTGGTTGTGTCAAATGTATTGAGTGAGCTCATATTCAGATTCAGTCCAAACAACCTGTGAAAGCCCTGTGTGTTTCACACATATGGCGTAATCCTAAATAACATTTCATCCATATTATATATACGTTCCCCGTCACGAAAGACAGATGAAAATGAAATGGTAAAGAAACTAGTAAGGATAAAGATATACAGCACAGAAATGTTTGCTTAGTAGCGAGGAACAAGGATTTTATCGTGGTTGTTATTTAGTAAGTTGCTAGTGGTAAAATAAATGCATTTGTTTAAAATGAACAGACTTAATTTTAGGACGAAAAGAAAGAAATTTTCCATAAGTAGTGGTTGATGAGTATCAATGAAAGCAAACAGTCCATAACACATTCAGTTATGGCCACTTAAACAAAAAGCTTGAACACACGAATACGTGTGGAATAGCCACAGCCAGGAAGTGCAAATACAAGAATAGGATAAAGTGAAATCGCAGAATGAGAAAGTAAAGTACAAAGCATAAAGGAAGAGAGGTGGATTGAAATTAATGCAAGGTTGAAGTAGAAGCCATAAGGAAAGTTAGAAATGTTTAAATGGACTGAAAAAAAATACAAAGACAACTGATAAAGCAATATGAAAACAGATGTGTGGAGAAAACTGTTTAAGTTTTTAAATTGTTGAATGGAACAGAAAAAACCCCTCAAAGTGATGATATTCCGAAAGTGAGGTAATAGTGTGAGAGCGAGAAGAGAGTTGTTTGCAAATAGCCCCCAAAGATTAGAAGTCGCCGAAGGATGTGGACCAATCAGAGAGGTATTAAAGCATAGAGAAGAATTGTTCATAGAGGAGTTCAATACCAGACAAAAGATCCGAGGACAAACAGAGTAATAGTAATGATAATGACATTTATAAGCAGTTCGTAAATGAATAAAAATGGAAATAAATTATCTGAAAGTAACTTTAAGTGGACGTAATATAATACAGAAACACTTTTATACGGGACACGCCATCTTGACAATTGCTGGTAATTACTCAAACTTTACTGGGAGAATGAGTTTAACACCGTAACTAACATGGATCATGAATATTTTCAGTGAAAGTTACTTATTGAATCTCACCAGATTTCTGGAAAGATATGATAATGGAAAGTAATTCCGGAACACGGGGACGCTAAAAATACATTTTTATTGCATTAATTGAGATATAGCCCTACATTCTTCACAATGTGTTTTCTTCATACGCAAGGTTGTAATAACGTGAATGAGAAAGCCATATGTGTCGTTCATTATTAATACTGCTTTGGCTTCAGCGAGAATAAGATATTTATCTATAGATAACTGTCATATAAATTCAAATTTAAGGAGCTCAGTGCCCCATAAACGTCATTTCTTGAGTGAAAACATGTATAGTACAATTTCAAGGCCTATAAATTTTTAGAGGTTGCATGTTGTGAAACGGATTTTTCCACAACAGTGGTCCAAAATTCAAGTTTATATTCATGGACGCTCGATGTGCCTTCCATGGGTGACGCGGCAGACGTCCCATCTGAACACAGTCTCATTCTATACTCCACGTAGTATATGTTCTTTGATAGTCATTACCGTATCACAGATTCTATCTCGCGGTTCCCCTAAGGACTGAGGAAGAGGAAGAACGTAAACTTTATTCTTGATGCAGACCCAGAAATTAAAATCAAGAGGTGTGAGAACGGGTAACCATGGCGGCCGTCGCCCGACATGTTGGCCTTGGCC